AAACCAAAATTGTAACAGTTGCAGCAGCAGTAGCAACTAGAGCAATAGCAGGGGCTAAACCCTTGTGCTAAGTAAGAACTTTACAAATGTTATTTCATTCAATCCTCACAACTGTCGTTATTATATGGATGAGGAAACAGAATAAAGGACTTGTCAAAGGTAACCTAGATAGCAAGTAGTTGAGGTCATATTCACCACTATCCCTCCTCAATCACCTCCACCACCACCACCACCACCACCACCACCACCACCACCACCACCACCCACACACACACACACACACACACACACACACACACACACACCTTTGTCTGACTCCAGGGTTCATGCTCTTAATCTCTCTCTAAACTGTGGATGCTTATAATGATCACTAAAGTCAGAGGCCCATGTGAAATAGAAATAAACTAGTTATCTCAGTTATAAATAGAAGGCAGAGTTAAATTCAACTCAGATACACAGAGCTACATCCTGATTGGTCTCCCAATCAGATCCCAACGTATTCATCTTCTTCCCAAAGAAAAAAAAGACACTTTCAGCTGAAACCGGTTTGGCTCAATGGATAGAGCGTCGGCTTGGGGACTGAAGGGTCCCGGGTTCAATTCCAGTCAAGGTCATGTACCTTGGTTGTGGGCATATCCCCAGTAGGGAGTGTGCAAGAGGCAGCTGATCGATGACTCTCTCTCATCGATGTTTCTAACTAGCTCTCTCCCTTCCTCTCTGTACAAAATCAATAAAATATATTTTTTTAAAAAGACACTTTCAGCAAACATATAAAGAACTCCATTCTAGAGAAAAGAATAAAGCATAAAGGGAGGCGATGGGAAGTACTAGATGAAACCAAAGACTTAAAAGGTAAGTTTAGGGTTTCCTTAAATATGTATACAACATCCTTGATGATGTTGGGGATCTTTTTTGTAAGCAGGGTTTCAACATACATTTTTCTTTGATCCTCAAAAAATTAACACATAAATAGTCTGAGACTGCAAGCATCGAATATAAATGTTCCTTCTAAAAAGTAATTCAGCCGAAACCGGTTTGGCTCAATGGATAGAGCATCAACTTGGGGAATGAAAGGTCCCGGGTTCGAATCCGGTCAAGGGCATGTACCTTGGTTGTGGGCATATCCCCCAGTAGGGGGTGTGCAAGAGGCAACTGATCGATTACTCTCTCTCATCGATGTTTCTAACTATCTCTCTCCTTTCCTCTCTGTACAAAATCAATAAAATATATTTTAAAAAATAATAATAAAAAAATAAAAAGTAATGTTCACTCAAACCCATGCAGTTTATAAAGTACCTTCACATATAACATTTCATTGAATACTACTGCCCTGTTAGGTAGTGAGAGCAATTTTTGAATCCCACTGTACAGATGGTGAATGAGGGACTTGCCTTCTTACCATTTGACTGGTAGAGCCTCCAACTCCTATCATGTGGCACCATATTTCAGGCTCCCTCCACACCACATTGTGCCTCCTCATTCCACATCAAAAGGTCACACAACTATCCTGCCTGCCCCATTTGCACAAGTTCATTACCAGTATTGTAAAAATAAGCTAATAATGACATAAGTATGAAGGGGAAAGAAAACAAATTCGGAATTTTCTCTGAGTGGCTGGTACTCTGTTTAGCTCCCAACCTAAACCTTGCCTAATGTAGTTCTTACAACAGCCCTTCAGGTACCGTATTTTCAGGCGTATAAGATGACCCCCTAATTTTACAGTTAAAACATAGGTTTAGGCCTATATTTGCTGTATAAGACTACCCCCCACTTCAAAGAAAAGACGTACTTTGCCGTCAAGATCTGCAGGTAATTTTTGTCCAATTTTGGTCTTTTGCCCCCGATTTTTGGTTGACTTTTCCCCCCCCCCGTTTCAAAAGTCGTCTTATACGCGAAAAATACGGTAGGTGCTGGTATTCCCATAGATCAGGAAAGACACAGAGGGGCTCAGTATATTAAGTGACAAAGCAGTGATTTTAACCATGGCACTATGCTATGTACACTGCCTTACATGATGTCACAGTAATACCCTTTTCTGATCAACAATAAAAAAAAATATCTTAGGTTAAAGTATTTTAATGATTTAAAATGTCAGAAAGAAAAATAAGTATTCTGCCACTTGTTGCTGTCACACTCTCACTTCCCAGCAGAGTGCCTTTTTTCTCTACTGATTTTCTCCAGTTAACTCTTAATATTTACTGGCTTCATTGTACCCTGGAAGGAGAGCTAACAGTTAGAACAAAAAGTAATGACATATTCTTAACAAATAGCATTTCATAAAGCCACAGGAATCATGCAAATATTATTTTATCTTGGATCTAATTTAATTCTACAAAATAGTATGTCAGTTACAAGAAATGTGAGCCTGCCTAGACACTTAGGAAATGAGAACAATGAACAAACTCTGAACAATCATTTTAACCACCACTTTCTGAGGGCTCTAACCAATCCAGACAAGATACAAGAACAAACTGCATTAAAGTAATCTCATTACCACCCTAGAGTCTGGCCTCCCACCCACCTTATCCTGAAGCACTAGGGATGGACAACATAAACCTCAAAATACTGTGCCCCTCCCCTCAGGTGCTACACCGCTAAAGGACAGCGATAGATAAAATGTAAACATGACACTATAAATAGTTTTAAACACGGAAAGATTCCTGAAGGACTCCCCAGAACAAAATTTAATTAGCTTTAACAAGTTAAGCTGTATTTATGTTCCCACAGGGGGCTTCCTTATCTGAAGCCAACAGGAGGAACATTCTGTTAAGCGTAAGTTGTACTCACAACAAAGCTGAATAGCTTAACAGGCTTTTAAGCAAAATTCTACCTTCTGGGAACAAATAAGAAAAGCTAAAGTCTATCTGAGCTAAACTGGAGGAGTGGGTGAAAAACCCAGCTGCAAGGACTAAAAACAGGCAGGAGTAGATAAAAAGAAAACAGGAAGAACTGAGCTAAAGGAAGTTATGAGGCTTAGGGGCAAAGACGGCGGGAACCCAGAAAGTTCGGGGGATATGGGCAACCCAGACCTTGAAAACCAATGCCCAGAACCAGGTTTGTCAGAGCCTGCCCTATGGAAAGGAGCTCGACTTCTACAGACTTAAAATTCAGATAAAGGAAATGAACTGGCCAAGACTAGAGGAAATGGAGTTAGAGGAAGGAATCAGGAGTATAACTGGTAGGGAGAATGGAGGCAGCTTTTTAGTGCTTTTTAAAAAGTGTTAACTTTTAAGTGGGTGAACTGAATGGCATGTGAATTATATCTTAATAAATCTGTTATTTCTATACTTTAAAGAGGGAGAGAGAGGAGACACCGATTGCGGTTCCACTTACTGATGCTTTCACTGGTTGATTTTGCATGTGCCCTAACTGGGTGAGTCTCCTTGTGTCTGTTGGAACACATCAGTCTGGAAAGGTGACAGAATTACAGAAGAAGCCATAGCGAGGGGTGGGGGAGGAAGGGGCAGGTTTTAAACAGGCTACCTAGTCTGCCTTTGGGATTTGGGGCCCTGTGTGGGAAGAAAGCTTTTTTTTTTTCCGGGGTATGCCTTGAAGTGGAATATCGGGTTTCTTCCGGGGATGATCTAGGGCCAACGCCTGCCTGGCCAATGAGAAAACGATCTGAGGTGGAAAAGTCAAGTCAGTTCTAGAGAAACCTCAGAAGGTTCATGGTGAAGTGATCACAGGTCTTATCGCTGCTCCTCCCTCCCCACCCCCCCAACATTGACTGCACACCCCGTGTCGCTCCGGCGGTTCATCGTGAAAAAAGGCCGATGCTTTGCCCTGATCCCTGGCGTTTCTGGCCAGCTGCCCACTGACGTCAATTAGAAAATCACCCCGGACCGGCATGGGTGAAGCCAAGCGCCACATCCAGCCGGCCCGGCTTCGGAGCCTCTCAACGCAGGAACAGGGACGAGGAGCCAGATCGCTCCCCTCCTCCCTTGGGCCGAGTTTCGGGGAGCCGCCCCCCAGAGCACCCCATCCCCACTCGCCAGCCTCAGGTCACGACCCCTGGGAGGAGGGAAGTGGGCGGCGCCGACGGGAGCCCCCCCCCCACCCAGCACAGGCGCACCTCCCCCGGCAGCGTCGCCCCTCGCCTCCCGGGAGCGATAGGCTATCGATTCAGCGGCCTGTCGCTAGGCGCCCCGGGAGCGAGGCCTACCCGCCCGGCCGGAGCCCCGGCCTCGATTTCGCCACTCTCCCCACACCAGCGGCGGACCCGGAGGGGCGGGAGGGGCAGCTAAGCCCAGCCCCGGAGGAAAGCCGGAGGCTGGGAGACCACCGGCAACGGCAGCCGCGGGAGGGGGCGTCTCCGGGGCCCCCCTCGCCGCCCCCAGCCTCCCAAGGGGCGCGTTCAAGTTCAGGCCGGCTCTTCCACCTGCAGAGCCCGCGACGCCCCCAAAGCCATCATACAAGCTCTTCGGACGGAGAGGGAGCTGGGGGCCCCTGAGGACGCGAGGGGGGCGGCCCGCAGCGAACCGCCCGCCGCCTCCCTCCTCCTCCCCCCCCCGCCCGACGCTTCCGGCGGCGGCCCGGGCACCCAGGTCCCTCCCGGGGTCGCTGCGGGGGCTCGGGCCCCCGGGCCGCCTCCCCTCCGGCTCCCCACAGGCCCCCATCCCCTCGGAAGTGCGCGAGGAGGAGTTTCCCCTCCAACTTCACCGGGAGGTCCCCTCGCCCCTCCCGACCCGCACTGGCGGTGCGGCCAGCGGGGGGGGGGGGGGGATCACTTTACACTCGGGATAAAGAGAATTAAGGACCTGTCAACCATTTTGGGTCTTTTTTTTTTTTTTTTAAGACATCCTCTCCTCCCCCTCCCTCCCCCGGCCGAGGTTTTAACCTGACACCGAGCCTTCCCACCGCAGGAGGGGGCTGAGGGAGGAGGTGGGAGCGGAGGGCAGGAGGAGGGCGGCGAGGGCGAGCCAATGGGGGGGGGGGGGGGAGAGGAACGGGGGGGACGGGAAGGGGCCGAGAGGCGCGGGCAGGGGAAGGGGTTCACTTACCTGAGACCAGCCACTGGCCTCCATTGTTGGAGAATTCAATGGCATTGACACAGCCGAAGTGGCCCAGGAGGTCCTTCTTGTAGAGGTTCCGGCAGCCCCGCAGGCGTCTCCTCTGAAAGTCCTGAGTGAGCAGGGGGTCCCCATGCAAGCCCCGCTGGGACAGGAAGCCCACCACTGACCTCATGCTGCCCCCCAGGCCAGCTCTCCTCTTCATCCTGGAACCGCCGCCGCCGCGCGCGCCGCGCCGCGCCCCTCCCCGGGCCCCGCGCGGCCGCCGCCGCTCCCCTCCCTCCCCGCGCCGCGCTGCGCTCCGGGCGGCGCTTTAACCCGCCATGGCAGCCGGAGCACGGGGTGCAGGCTCCCGGCGGCGGCGTCCGCGGCTTCCTGGCGGCGCCCGCCCTCCTCCTCCTCCTCCTCCTCCTTCTCCTCCTCTGCCCTCCCTGTCTTCCCCCCCCCCCCAGGCTCCTCCCTCTCCCGCTCCGCCTCCTCCAGCAGCTGATGCCCAGCTGCGGCCGCGCCGCCGCGGGCCGCGGGCGCCCGAAGAACGCGGGCGGCGGCGGCGCCCTCCCCCGCGGGCCGCGGGCTGCGGCCGGAAGAACGCGGGCGGCGGCTGGGGCCCCGGGGTGGGGGCGCCGGGCGGAGACCGCGCTGCACCCCCCGGAGCCGCACGCTGTTCAGTTGGGGCCGCGTAACAATCCTGGGCGCCGCGGGGCTGCGGCTCCGCTTCCCGCGCCCGCGGTCCCCAGTCCATCGACCCCCGGAGGCCCCGCGCCGGGACCTCATTCGGCTCCCCGCTTTTTTTTTTTTTTTCTTCGGGGGGGAAAATGCAGCCTGAGGGGGCACAGAGATGAGGGGACACTGCGGGCAGAGGCTGGTGGTCAATCGTCTTCCCTCCTCTCGTCTCAGCCCGGGGTCGCCCGAGCCCTCCTCTCCAAGGGAAGGGAGCCGGGACTCGTGGGGTAAGGTTGCTTAGGGATTTTTGTGGGGGCATCCGTTCTTATCCCACCAAATACGTTTTTAACACAGTCCCTGCCCCTCCCCCAGTTCTGTGCTATAATTTCCCCTCCAGCTATTTATTCGGAAAAAGGCTAAAATGTATCGTCTGGTAGATAATGGAGCGGTATCGGGAAAGGAGGGTGGGAGGAGGATGTGTCAAGAAGTGAAAAGAAAATTGCCAAAACCGACTTGAGGACGATCTAAAATGCAGAGTGCATTGGCGAGACACAAGAAGCATTATTCGAAAATAGGAATATGTGTATGTTGCTTCGTTGGGCGCGGTGAGGTCCTCTTCCAGGTCTGAAGTGTGGGGGTCTGAGGCTGCACAGCTGTTAGCCAGCAGCTGGTTCCAGGCCAGAAGTAGCTGCACGTCAGTAGGCTGGGAGCCTTGGCCTTGACCCCAGTGAGGTTAAGTGCTTTGGAATTCTACCAGATCCAGTGAAAAGCCCCCTTTTCAGTGTGTTGTAGTACTTTTCCAAGGAGCTATCCTTGTCTTTAAATGTCAATACCTACTAGAATAGGCAGGCATCAGTTTTGCCCTTTGAATTTCACAGAAATTACATGCTCTGTCATAGAGATGGCATATAGTAGTCAGTTTAGTATACTGCCATAAAAGATGGGCTGAACATGGAAAACATTCATCCATCAAGAAAAATCACCTACTTCTATTTTTTTGTACAATGACAATAGGATTACTGCTATACTGCCAAAACTGGTTTGGCTCAGTGGATATAGAGCGTCGGTCTGCAGACTGAAGGGTCCCAGGTTCGATTCCAATCAAGAGCATGTACATTGGTTGTGGGCACATCCCTGGTAGGGGGTGTGCAGGAGGTAGCTGGTGGATGTTTCTGGCTCTCTGTACCTCTCTCTTCCTCTCTGTAAAAAATCAATAAAAAAAATATATTTTTTTAAAAAAGTTTTTCCTGGCCAGGTAGCTCTAAAAAAAAAAAAAAAAAAAAAAAAAAAAAAAGATTACTGCTATACTAATGACAAATATGCAAGTAAATGTTTAATTTAAAAGTCAACATTATCACAAATATTGCTGAAGTTAACAGCAATTCACCAAATTCCAGAAACTATGGTTTAAATGGGATATTATTTCCCTAAATAGGAAAATGTATAGTGCTTTAAAAAAGTTAATTTTATTCTCAGGATGCTTCATCCGTGTTTAATATAATGGCCTCATAAAAAATCAGTATACCTACCGAAACTGGTTTGGCTCAGTGGATAGAGCGTAGGCCTACAGACTGAAGGGTCCCAGGTTCGATTCCTGTTAAGGGCATGTACATTGGTAGCAAGCACATCCCCAGTAGGGGGTGTGCAGGAGGCAGCTGGTCAGTGTTTCTCATCGATGTTTCTAGCTCTCTATCCCTCTCCCTTCCCCTCTGTAAAAAATCAATAAGATATATTTTTTAAAAATCAGTACACCAGCAGTATACCAGCTTGACTAAATAGCAATATCATAGTGTCTAATTAATCATTTATCTTGTGATTACATAGCAATGTCATAGTGTATAATTAATCATTTATTTTGTGATTATATCATAGCCCTCCACTCTGCTATAAGCTATAAGCTTTCTGAGAGCAGGAACCATGTCTGTTCTGCTCATGGGTACATATCCAGAGCCCACACATGCCAGCATGCAGGGAGTGGTGAGGAACTTGGAGAGGAAGGCAGTGACTCGGGTGTGGGTGTGTGAGTTTGAGGTGTCTTCATTCCAGTGCAGACAATTTCAAGGACAGTTTTCCATTTCACTGTTTCTTCGCGTGGCATACTTATTTTACACATTAAAAAAATAGAGTCCTCTGGCTCCTTCCAATGAATAGGGCATCATTTATACCTATCTTATTTGCCTGGGTGAGGGCTATGGGCATAGTAATGGTGTGGCCTTATTGTGGCAATATTTAAGACACACTCTCCTCTCCCCTTTTCAGCACTTATCTCTTCTCCACAACTTTAAATGGGACTTGATTTTCCCCAGTCTCTGAAATAACTGCCCCATTTACCGCAGCCTAAAAATAGACCAGGACCTGGTCAGATGCCAACCCAATTCCAGGATTTTGCTGGAAACTTCCTTAGCTTTCACTGACCAGCCAGGATAGATATGTAGACAACTCAGTCTGTTTATATCCTTCAGCTACTTTCTGTAAGGAGAGCGCATAAAACCACTCTTTCTTTATTTCCATAATTAGGTTGCCAGATAAAACACAGGCTGCCCAATTCAATTTGAATTTCAGGTGAACAATGAATAATTATTTCAATAATTATTATTTGCTAAATCTGGCAACCCTTCCTATAACATAACCCAACTTTAGAAGATCAAATCCCATAGTAATCTATTTGCTTTTATTAAGAATTTAACATACTCCTATGGATCATTTATTGCAAACTGGTAATATTGTACATAACTATATAACACAAACATATCAACTTCAGTGACTATGCGAGGATGGCCTTTCTGATACAGGCATTTATAGTGTGGAGGAAGAGAGAGAAAAGTGAAAATTCCCATTTTTCTTCCTTGGGCCCAGAAACTTCTGTATATTAACATTCATACTCAGAAAGCCCTGAAACACTATTTTATAAACTCATCCTGGAAAAATTAAAATATTGAAATTACTTAACCCTTTTTACTTAATCACTCCACCAAATGCTGATCAAGTGTAGAGTTCCCAGAAATTCATCTACTCTTTGACTTCTATCTTGCTTAGCCCTGACACCACTGGTGAAAGAGTCTTTAAATCTTTAAAAACTGACTGAATGCTAAGGAAAAGCTCAAACATTAGAAATTGTTTGTTTAAAAAAAAATACCTAAGAAAATACTCAAACATTAAAATACTCTCAAACATTTACTAAATGTTAGTATAGTAAGCGCTACATATGGATACTAACACTCAGAAATTTTTCACTTAAAAATATTTTCAACTTTTGCCAAGACTGGTTTAGCTCAGTGGGTAGAGCATCGGCCTGCGGACTGAAAGGTCCCAGGTTCGATTCCGGTCAAGGGCATGTACCTTGGTTGCAAGCACATCCACAGTGGGTGGTGTGCAAGAGGCAGCTGGTCTGTTTCTCTCTGATCAACGTTTCTAACTCTCTGTCCCTCTCAATTCCTCTCTGTGTAAAATCAATAAAATATATTAAAAATATATATATATTTTCAACCTTTGCTCTGGCTGGTTTTGCTCAGTAGTTAATCAGCCTGCAGACCGAAGGGCTACAGGTTTGATATTCGAGGTGCTTGCAGGAAGCAACCAATCAATGTTTCTCTCAAGTCCCCTTATCACTTCCACTCTTTCTGACAATCAGTGGGAAAAAATATCCTCAGGTAAGGATTTAAAAAAAAAAAAATATTTTCAACTTTAAAATAAACTGCTACTCATAGATGACATTAATTCAGACAAATAACACACATTACATATATAGTTTATTTTAATGTCATTTAACTTTTAAAGGATACATTATTTATTGGTCATTTCAAATAGCAGTTTATCTTAATTTGTGGTGGGGGGAGAAACTGATCTATTTAAATATGTTTTTATTGATTTTACAGAGGGGAAAGAGGAGAGTTAGAAACACCAATGAGAAGCATCAATTGGCTGCCTCCTGCATACCCCGTACTGGGGATTGAGCCCCGAAACCTGGGCATGTGCCCTGACCGGGAGGAATCAAACTGTGACCTCATAGTTCATAGTTTAATGCTCAACCACTAAGCCTCCCCAACCAGGCAAAACTGATCTATTTAAATACAAATTTCTTCAACAAGATCTATAGGTCATACATCTTTTCATTTTTTTTTAAATAAGATCTTTATTAGATATAATTGACACGCCCTAAAACTCAGTACAGAATTCAGTGGCTTAGTATATTCACACAGTGGTGCAACCATTACCACTATCTGATCCTGGAACACTTTCATCAGTTTTAAGAGAAACCCCATCACTTTAGCAGTCACTCCCCATTCCTCCCTCCCTTTAGCCCCTGGCAACAATTTAGGAATAATTGTTTCAATAGATTTTTCCTATTTTAGATATTTCATATGAGTGGAATCATGGCAATATGTGGCCTTGTGTCTGGCTTCCTTTATTTAGCATGTTTTCAAGGTTCTTCCTGATGGCATGTATCAGTACTCCATTTTTTTCTAGATCCAATTATATTCCATTGTATAGGTGTGGACATTTGAGCTGTTTCCACTTTTTTTGGCTATTGTGAATACTGCT